CCACAAGAGGAGCCTGGCTTAATTTCCACATAGTTCTGCCTCAAAGAGGTGTGCAGATTTTCCTTACCCTCATAGTCTCGAGAAAGAAGAGATTCACTATTTTTAGAATTATGAAAGGCTGCAATAGGACTCTCTCTGACCACCACACCCATGCGAGAATCAAATATTCTATCATTGCTCTTTAGATTGCATTCTTCTCTGAGCCTCTTCTCTGCGTTTACTTGGCTTTCCTCTGCAGCACACACTAGGGGAGAGGCCTGTGTCACAGACTCATCTGATTTCTTGCAAGTCTTGGGTATTTCATACCTCTGGTACTTAGCATAACCCCCCTGGGCCATGAGTTTACTTACTCTTCCCTCTCCTAACTGGGACTGGTCAAAAATTTCAACCATATATTTGTCACCCTGCACATTCAAAAACCAAACCTTTAGTTCCTTGTTCAGTACCATCTCCCTGAATGCAGACACAGCAGCTTCACTCCAACTCCCTCTTGCAGGGGAGACACCTGCCAAACAACACTTCAGAGCTAAAGCAGGCAGTTCCCTGAACCGAGGGAGCAGCTCCTTCACAGCACACAGATCCACAGTTTCTGTACTGCCTCTGTCCACCAGGTGTATTTCCACCCCAGTGTCCAGCACCCTGGTAACCACTGCTCGATAAAAGACACCCTCATTCCCACTGGCACAACAAAGGGATCCAGGCTGTGGGTCCCACCCAGCACCATCCAGCTTTGTGGAATGGGAATAAAAATTCCACATGCTCTGCCTCAGCTGCCTGAAGAGCTGGTAATACTCATGGAGCTGCAGCCAGAACTCAGATGGGTCTTGGAGGTGGGAGACCTGTGCACTGTACAATGTCCAGGTCTTCAGATACACACCAGCAGCAGCAGCAGCCAAATCTCCATGGGCTAAAACAGGAGGTGCTTCTGGTGGCAATCCCAACTCTTCAACTAAGGATTCCTCTACTTCCAACTGCTCATGATCCTCAGTTTGGCTCACATGACTGCTGGCCAGGCAGCAAGCCTGAGACCCAAAAAGATGGTTCAAATCAACGCCATTTTCCCCATAGAGAGTCACATAATAGAGATGCTCAAAGGAGTTAAAGGCTTTGATGTGAGCACTCACTCCTCTGCCGAGCACCAGCGCTTTCAACAAATCAACCTGCAGCGAGGACCAGCCACAGCCCCCATCCGAAACACCCTGAAGAGCGCACGCGTAAGTGACCACAGGCATGCGGAAACACTCGGCAGGCAAATGGCGCAGGCTCGCTCTGCTCACAGTCTCCTTCTTGCCATAGTCCACAAAGATCACGACAGCTGCATGCTGGTCCAGCTCCCCAGCAATGAGCTCCAGCAGAATGGCACGGTACCACTGGCCATCCATCCCACGGGCAGCACAGGGCGAGCCCACTTTGGGCAGTAAGTCCTGCTCCCACCGGTCATAAGCATGGCACATGGTCTCAGAAAGGCAACAGATCTCCTGTGACAGGCACTGCAACTGGCAGTAAATGTGGTGTGGGTCCGAGACATGGGTCACTAGAACAGGCTCTGTCACATCCAACTGAAGCTGAGGGTAGTAGTAATCCAAGGAAGGTGACAGAGGCTGGTATGAGAGCAACACATGGACAAGCTGTGGAACTGCAAAAGCTCCGAGGGAACACGCTGGAGGCTGCTGACAGAGCTGCTTCTTTAACTGGCCAGAGGGCAGGCAGCGCCTGAGCACCTGGCAGAACCAGCTGGGAGAGACTCGTTTGGCCAGGCCCAGCTGCTGCATCTGAGCCACGAGCTGGGGCAGCTCGAGCACGATGACCTGCGGCATTATCACCTCCTGCACCACACCAGACACCTCCTTGCCTTGCAGGAAGCTGAGGAACTCCATCGCCTCCACGGTCCACTTGGACACGGGTGAATCCCCACTTGCTGTCCCCTCGTTACTGTGGCAGGGCATGACTTCGGCCACGACACAGCCCAGCACCTCCGGGGGCAGCTGGAACAGCTCTGAGCAGCCCCGCGCCAGGTAATAGGCAGACGTGGTCACCACGTACCCCTCATCCAGCAGGAAAACACGGTACCCCTGGGCACTACAACTCACCACACAGCAGCGGTACCACACACCCAACACTTCCACCAGCGCCATGTCTCCCGGGCACAGCCTGGTCTCGCTGGCCCCCGGCCCGCCGGGCTCTGGGCGGGCCGCCAGGCGCGGCCCGGCCGCCGCTTGGATCTCGCGGTACAGGAGGGCATAGTCAGCGTTGCTTTCCCCCAGAAGCCCCCACAGCCGCAGGATGGGCACCTCGGGGTACAGCCCCACGGCGCGGACCCGCAGAGTGACGGTATCACCGCGGCCGAGGGACCCCGGCCCGGAGCTCATCGCGAAGCCACCTCGCCCGCCTCTGCTCCCCCCACGAGGCGAATGAACGCCTCGCCCTCCGCCCCTCGGCCTCATATAGAGCACGCGCCGCCCACGTGACCCACGGGGAGCCGTTAGCGGCTGCCCCGGCGGCCGAGTCCATTTCGATCCTCTCGGTGGGGTGGAGAGCGGCGCGAAGCGAAAGGGAAAAAGGAGAGGTGAAGCCAGCTGAGACGTGGGGCCGCTCCTGCTAGGCTATGAGTGCGCGGAGGCGCCGCTAAGAGGAGGGTTACGGAATTATGTCCGGGGCGCCGCGGGACTCAGGGCAGAGCCGGGCGGCGCTGCCCTCGCCCACGGTGGAGCGCTCCACGAGGGACGAGTGGCGGCGAGACGGCGGGGGCGGGGTGAGGGGGAGAGCGCGCCGAGCCCGCTTAGCTCCCATTGGTCAGAGCGGCGCAGAGGGCGGGACACGCGTGCGGAGCTTGGCGGCTATTGGCCAGCGGCGGCCTGGGGGCGGGGCGTGGTGTGAGGGCGGCAGCCGCAGTGTGAGGATGGGCAGGGACCGCTAACAATTCACAGCCGAAGAAGAGATTTATTAGGAGTTAAAGAAGTTTTTCACTACAAGATTTTTACAAGGCATTTTTGTCATTTTTATTTTGATCTGTGCCTCAAGGGACCAGTGTTATTTAGTATTTTCATTAATTGCTTTGGTGTAGGGTTGGAGTGCACCTTCGGCACGTTTACAAGTGACACCAAGTTGAGTGACACCAAATCCTCTGAAATCGTTGGGATAAATAAACTCTCTAACACTGTCTTTTTAGTGTTAGCAAGTCAGGCATTACTTTATTCTTGGCCAAGAGGGGGTCGTGTGGGTGTGGCTGACAAAATCCTGGTCTCTACACAGATGCAGATACAGAACTTTTATGTTTATTTATATATGTGCTTTTAGCAAGCAAATTAATATTCACTGGCTCTAAATTACAGAATTCTTGTTCATTAGTTAGTATTCTGTCTTCTGTTGGATATTGATTTCTCACTTTTGCAAATTAGTTTAAATTCTTCAGTCTCTTTATTATCTTTTTTCCCAGGTAGGGACTTTGCAGCAGACATACTGAGTCTTTGTTAGTCTCTTTTTTGTCTGCTGTTTTCTGCAGAATGTCTTTGTGGTCTATAAATTGTGCAGTCCTTGTATCCAGTTTTATCAATAGACCTCTCTTCTTTCAGGCTTTGTTAATTGAAGTATATCAAGGTTATTCTAACAAAACTTAGAGTTTCAGTGATTTTTCCAAGCTGTGTGCCCATAAAAGTAGCTTATGGCAACTTTGAGAAATGCAGGTTAAAAGTGGTTTTACACACTGCTTATAATTAATATACTGGCTATGATGATCAGAGAGGTTGAGCAACTGTCCTTTGTGGAAAGGCTGAGAGGGTTGGGATTGTTCAGCCTGGAGAAGAGAAGCTTCAAGGGGACCTGACTGTGGTCTTCCAGTACCCGAAGGGAGCCAGCAAGAAACATGGAGAGGGACTTTTTACAAGGCCTGGAGTGACAGGACAAGGGGGAATGACTTCAAGCTGAAAGACAGCAGGTTTAGATTGGATATTAGGAAGAAATTCTTCACTGTGAGGGTGGTGAGACACAGGAACAGGCTGCCCAGAGAAGCTGTGGGTTCCCAGTCCCTGGAAAATGTCCAAGGCCAGGTTGGACAGAGCTTGGAGCAACCTGGGATAGTGGAAGGTGTCCCTGCCCATGGCAGGGGGTTGGAACTGATCTTAGAGGTCCCTTCCAACCCAAACTGTTCTATGACTGTATAATAAAAGTATTTACTGTGTCTCATGAGAAAGGTAAAGCTGTGTATCCATCACTGGCTTATCAGGCTAACAGGAGGGCAGGCAGGAGTGCTTGGGATGGAACTGAAGCAGCAGCTTTGCTGCTTTGTCATTGCTGGTGCTGGAGTACAGGACTGAAAGAACTGGGATTTGTTTCTCAGGATGACAGCCAGAAAAATACCAGAATTTCTGAACAAAACCTTTGGATTGATGCACAGGAAATTCTGCCTGAATATAAGGAAGAACTTTACTGTGCAGTGACTGAGACCTGGAGTGGATTGTCCAGAGAGGCTGTGGAGTCTCCCTCACTGGGGATATTCCAGAACTGGCTGGGTGCAATCAGTGCCCTGTGCTCTGGTTGACCCTGCTTGAGCAGGAAGGTGGGACCAGATGAGCCACTGTGCTCCCTTCCAGCCTGCCCCATTCTGTGGTTCTGTGACTCCCTAATAATGGTGAGATGAATGTTTTCCAAGCTGGAAGCACACCCCAAATGCACACAGCCACAACTGAACTACAGTACAATCAGAAAAAACAAGTGCAAGCCAAGAAAACACCCAAACTGTGTTCAGTGAGAAAATGGCACATTGGAGACACTGGCTGCAGACTAGAAGAAATCCTGGGTATTTATTCAAAGAGCCACATTTTCTACATTAACTCAATTACTAGATATTACTAAATCAAAGCCAGCTTTGTTTTATCTACTCATGGCTGCATTTAATACTGCATTTTTGACCCTTGATTGCCAAAGGTGAACCTAGTGACAAACAGCACTAGTCTCCTTCTCTATGAAATCTGGAAGGCTTTAGGTTTAAAAATAAATGTTCAAACATTTTGCATTATTGAAGAGAACACTGTATTTCCATTGAGATGTAAAGTGGGCAGAGTGCACATTCCCATGGAAAATGACCCAGTCTGCCACATCAGCACTGAGATTGTCACAGGACAAGTAGCTCACCTTGGTCCTATGGAATATCCTGAGACCTTTGAGCATTGCAGAACAAACCAGGCGTTTGATTTTCTGAGAACAGGACTGCATTTCAATCATGATCTTACTTCAAGAGTTGAGTGGAGAGGTCAGGCAGTCTCTGGGAAGTAAGAGAAACACAAACCCTTCCACTTTTTGTGCAAAGCAGATTTGGAATCAGGCAAACTGCTTTTATCTTTTTTAATACCTAGCACTACAGGTTTGGTTTGCTGACATATCAAACTAATGAGAGGTAGTTCTTGATCTGTGTGCAAATTAACAACAAAAATTCACAAATAATTTTATAGATGTTTAGCCACAGAACTTATTCAGTGCATTGATCAACCTGCTCTTGTTTTTTAGCAATAGAAACCATCTCCATTATCAAACAGACAGTATTATGTTCTATTTGCTTGGTAGAATGTTTTTTATTCCTGTTTTCTGGTTCAGAAAGCTGATGCTGGCTGGTAGCTGAAGTATTGCTGGGACAGTTTTATCCCGTGGATAATATAAATTTCATGTAGTCTGACAATCAAATAGTATCCTCAAGTCATGGCTGTTCCCAACCAGTAAGGACTGGATTTGGAGCAACAAGCTATGCATGTGATCCTACTACCCTGTGGAATGAGAATTCAGCTTGACTGCTCTTCTCTGTGAATACTGAAGGTTTTAAAAAGAAGTAACTCCACACAGCCTTCTGATTTGTTCATATGTAAGCCAGAATACCAGTGACCAGGGTGCCTGTGAAAGCAAACACTGAAGTTAGAGGCTTAAAACAAAAGTAACCCAAGAAAGAAGCCCATTAAACTGTCTCTTCTTAAAAATCATATTTTTAAGTTCAGTCTCATGTTGCTCAGGTTCCCAGAGAGGTTCCCAAGCCTCTGTCTGCTCAGAGAGGCAGAACTCCCCACCTCTGAACTCCCCACCCCTGAACTCCCCACCCCTGGAAGTGTTCAAGGCCAGGTTGGACAGGGCTCTGAGCAAATGGAAGGTGTCCCTGCCCATGGCAGAGGGTTTGGAATGAGATGATCTTTAAAGTCTCTTGAACCCAAACCAATTCTATGATTATGTCTTTCATACAAAAATTGTAATAGTACATAGGGTTAGGGCTGCATCCACACTCCTCACATTTTAATGCCAATTGTTCTTGTAAAGAGAGTTAAAAAGCACGTACCATTCGCATCCAGGTTGGTATAAAGCCTTTGTACAGAGACATTAACCCTTCACCCTGCACAGTCTGAATCAAGCAGTCCATGGAAGATTTATAGAGCAGACCTCTAGCAACGTGCAAGGAGAACAAACAGTGTTAGGATTACACATACACAATTAAAAAAATAAGACATCCCCCTCATAAAAATAATTTGTGGTGAGATTTTTCTACAAGCCAGAGTGCTTTTGTGAGCTCCTTGGAGTAGGTGGCCATCACAACAACACCCCCCAGACATTTACTAAATCAGTAAAATCATCTGATTAGAATGATGAAGAGCAAATTCTCAACTTAGCACTTCACTCCCAGTGAAATCAGTCAGCCCCATGGTTTCAATGTGCTGCTGAGAAGGTGGTCTGTGAAGTGTCCATACCTTCCCTGCTTATCTCTTGGCTGGTTCATTATCCGGGTTTTGACCACATCAGCAGGAGTTCCCAGCACAGCTGCTACCAGCCCAGAGCAGACACTGCCAACAGCAACAGATACTTAAGGAAGAAACCAAGATGTATCATAAAAATTTCAGCATTGTGATTCCAGTTCTTATAATAAAGATATATTAAAACAGTTATCATCAAATCATGAGTAATAACTCATAAGATAAACTCGATTTGGGAGGCTTACTAATACTGCTCTTGCTCACATGTCCTCCCAGTGCCAGCTGCCCTCACCTCTGTGTGCAGTTCTGAGTCAGGGATGAAGGACCCACAATAGGCAATTCATAATAGTGTTTATATAAAGCAGATTTTTTCATCACTTAAGAGAGTAAAAGAGGATGTTCTGCAGAAGTTGTATCACTGTGCTCCCACAGATTAGAGCAAAGGTGTTTAAATGTACCAACAAGGCACTTCTAGTGACGGCAGTTTTGTAGCAATGGTTGCATCCTTTCTCTTGTGCCTTCTATAAAGTGATGTTCTCTAAGGAAAAAATAATTCTAAAGTTGCATTTCATCAGCAGTATCAAAATCAAAGAATGGGGTCTTCTGCTGGCACAGAGAGGCAGATGAAGACAGCAAGGCTGGAAATGCTCCACAGTGGAAAAGGGGTAATTGGAGAATATGGCACCTGCTGACACTGTGAGTCACACTGTTGTCCACAAGTGTCGTGTTCAGAAGCAAGAAGTGTTTCACTGTGTCGTAAGTCGTCAGATCTGTAAAGAGGATAATGAGAAAAATCAGCACTGTCAGGAGTGAATGGTCTGTGCTGTTCACAGCACAGGATGTTCATTTCCACTGAGGCGCCTGCCTTTGGCACAGCTGGCACTCTGCCCCCGTTTTTAATGAGGGCTGTGGCACCCCAGTCCTGTCTTTAGACCTGTGAGTACATTCTCCTTCCTGCTCCCATCTGCTCTGATTTACCTTGCAGATGATGCTGAGCTGTATCTGGGTGACCCTCACCAGCCCTGTTGCTGGCTCAGCTTCCTGGCTTGGTCTCACACCTGCCTCATGACCACACACTTCCCTACGGATCTGGATCTTGGTGAGCCTGGCTGCCTTTACTGGCTCTGCCCTGCTCACCTCACTTGGGCACAAAGCTGGTGAAGTCCCTGCTTTGCTGGCCATGGGACCCATTCAGCTTCTGGCTCACTTTACCTTAAATTCAGGTAAAAACTGTTACTTTTAAGCCATTTGATTTCCACAGGACCAAAACACAGGTGCACGAGGCAGAGGTCACTTGCAGGGTGCTCCAAACAGGGCCCTAAGACAAAGGGAGCAGCTGAGCTCCTTTTTCTTAAAGATTTGGTGGGGCCTTAAATGCTGCATGCTAAGTTATTCCATTTACCTCCCATATTCACCAGAGCAGCTCTCTGGACATTTGGTACCCATCCAGCCCAAAGTCCCCTTACTCCTCCTTCAGACAGGATCTTCAGAAATGCGTGGTGCACACCCCGAAACCTGAAATCAAGATGAAACCTGGGGGTAGACAGCCCAGTGAAATCTTTGCATGGAATTTATACCTGCAAGGATCCATTTTTGGATCTGTCTTTGACTTTCATGCCACAATATTTTACCAGAGATACCAGTTGCCTTGCAAAGCAGTGATCTGGTCCCTAACAGCAGACAAGCCTTAGATCCCACACTGGGTTACAATACAACATGTATGTGACACCAAATGATGGCAGCAGTTTGGCATGCAAAGAGCAGCATGTCCTGCTATTTGCAGAAGAGTCTCAAGCCCTGCTGTGTGCCAGCCTTCCTTGTGCCTGTGCATCCTGCACGAGCCATTTCACTCGTGCTTTCTTCCATCTTCAGAAAGCGTCCTTCCTTCCCCATGGTGCAGTGCTGGCATGGACGTGCTGCAGCACGGAGGATGGGTTTGTGGTCCCTGGGACCAATAAATCAGAATAAAGAAGATGAGTACAAATGGAACAAGGAGGAGGTCTTGAATCCCTCCTCCTTTAACTGCCCAGAGCCATTGGGTGCTCTCCCTGTAAAAGGGCACAGAGCAGCTGGGGAGAAGGAGTGGCAGAAAACACAGAGCAACACACCCTGGGCCAAAGAGTGATCAGTAACAGGGGGAGAAACACCAGCTCAGAGAGGAACCAACCGTAATGGCTTTCCTTCCAACTTCCTTTTCCCCTCCATCTGCATCTGCACCTTCACCAGATCAGTTGGGCTGGCAAAAAACTGTCCAATGGCACCTGCAGATACGCCTCCAACCACAGCTTTCCTGCCAAATGGAGAGAAATTGTGCTCCAGAATACACTGAAAATCCTCACAGGTCACAGGGCTCAAGCTGAAGAGTTCAGCAACACAACCCAGGTGGAACAAGTGTAAATGGTTATTCCATATATGAACAGCCAAAGCAAAGGTAATAATTGTGGTGGCTACAGGTTGTTAAAGTAATCAGTAATATTTCTGTCAATTTTCAAAAAGGGTTAAAACTTATCTGGGGGAAAAGGAAATGAAAACAAGGTTACATTTTGCTCTTTGCTTGAGGTTTAAAGCAGGATGGCAAAGTACAAGAGTAAAGGATGATGTTCCATGTACTGTAACTGAATGCCCACCTGAAATTCCAAACTGCTGCTGATATATAAAAACTTTTCTTTCTCTCCCACTGCTACTAGATGAACTGTGTTAATTTTATGGGTCTATTTTAGTAAAATCAGAAATTTCAGTATTATCCATAGGTCCCCCTTCCTGCAGCATTGGGCATGACAAGTATTTTGCAGTAGATTTTATCAATCCCATTCTAAAATCAGATACATTTTGGACCCAAGATATGGCTGTAGGTCTCCCACAGTAAGGACAATCCCCAAGCAAGCAATAAATATGCAAGAATATACAACATTACCAGAGAGGAAAGCTTTCACCCTCTGCCCTGCCAAGCACGGAGTCACGGAGATGTTCGTAAGTAACCATCCGGACACCAGTGTACACTGTGGAAAACAAAAGCAGGAGACAGTTCTTGGGTCTGCATTTCTGGAGGTCAAAATGAGAGAGAGACCAAGACCTTGGTTTATGGCACTCCAGAGCTTGCCTGGGTCAACTGGTCACTGCTCTCATGTTTGTGATCTGAATGGGGAAAGTGAGGGGTTTGCCTGGTGTCAGAGGGAGAGCCAGGGCATCTTAGCATCAAAAAGTCTCTCTGGCTGAGCCACAGGTCTGCCAGGAGGCAGCACAGCTCTGCCTGCACCCTAAGGAGATGGGACTGCATTGCCTCATTCTGGGCTGATGCCAAGCAAAAAACCTCCACAAGTACTTTTGAGGTTTGTTGTTGTCACCGTATTTCAAACTAAAGCACAGAAAGCTGTTACTTGTGGCAAACCGCTGATGCATTTCTTTTAAGCAATTGTATTTTTCCCTTGTGCTTCCAACCTCATTTTTCCCATCCTTTTCCTAATATGTCTCCACTTCCCCCACATATGAGACATTTATTCTGAGAACTCTGAGTGTCTGGACTTCCTGAACAAGACCTTCATGCAAAGATGACAGAGAACTTATATTTTGTTTTCCCAGAAGCCAGAATAAGGCCATGAAGGACTGGAAAAGGGAAGGAAGAGAAGCTATTGATCTGAAATCTCGTATATTTCAAAGTGGGATTGCAGGGCTAGACTGAAAACTCCTCACAGATTTATTTGAAGTACAAGAAAACACGACAAGCTCACTCCAAAAGGCTTGGCCACAGCAGGCAGGATCCATCGTGTCCCATCACGAGCAGATATTCACCTATGTGGCGGTAGACGGCCGGCGTGGCTCCTTGCCAGAGCTTCCACACCCCCTCCTCCTGTGCAATTCCAGCCGCCGTGCGCAGCATCCCGCGGTACGGGACCGCCGGCCCGGCCGCAGCTTCACCTTGGACCTGCAGCCGGGTTTTCGTGAGATCCAGAGGAAATGTCACTGGGAACAAAGGGCCGGGAACACACGTGAATAGGAGTGCGGCTGCAGGGAGAGCTCCCGTGCCGGGAACAGCCTCACCACAACGCCCTGCCAGCGCCCGAGGGGCTGGGCAGGCACCAGCAGGGAGCAGGGGCTGTACCCAACAGGGTCCAGGAGATCCCTGGAGAAAAGGAGAATTCTCATCCAGGTCTGTTAAAAGTGGCGCTAGGCACAAGTAGCTAAATGACATTCCTGTCATACACACTGTCTTTCTCCCATATTTAGTTTTGCAGATTTGTTATGCAAATATGTGTACCTTCTGAGGGACTCAGGATTAAAAACCCCTTCTAGTTACTCCCCCTGAATACAGACCAGTCATATCTCTCCATTGATCATGTGGTCTTTCCAATTCTGTCCAGCCACTGTCTAGCACAGTGGCAGCACATGTTATGGTCAGGAACAACTCCACAGAGGTCATCATAATGCTGACATACATTCAGGCTCCCCTACAAGCTTACATACATATCTGTCCTACAAACCACGCTAAAACGTGCTTGCTTTCATTATACAGGCACAGGAATAATGTCTAGCCTGTTATTTCTCTCATTGAAATAACTGGTGGCCAGTGAAGGAGATCCAAGGTGATCTCAGCTTGCCAGGGCAGCTCCTGAAACAATATGGATACATATCTGTGGCCCTCATTTCAGTTCCAGGCCAGGAGTGCCTGGTGACGGACCTTCCCAGCCTGTGGGGAAGGAGCAGGGCTTGTCTTTGTTTGATACCTCTGAGACACACCAGGGTCCTTCCAAAGCAGGATCAGGTGCCAGGGGAAAGCACTCACTGCTCAAAGCCTCAGCAGATTTATTGTCTATTTGTGCATTAAGTTTGGTATTCATGTTTAAAGATTAGCAAAGATTGAGAAGTTACAAATCCTTAGAGCAATGTAACTGACTTGCCTGTAGGAGCCTGTAGAAATTATAAAGAACATGCTGAAAAATATTCAAAATAAGTTACTTGGTCACAAAGCAGTGCTTTCACCAAACCATTTTCCAACTCCATTTTTATAAGCATCTCCACTGTGACCAGAAACATAAGAGTTGATTTTTCTTTGATTAACCTTCATTGACTATAAAAAGGAAATTCCTGAAGGAACAAGGCCTTGCTAGTAACTTAGGCAACAGATCTGCCTGCCTCTTCAGGCTTTCTCTGGAAACCCAGCCAGCGCAAAGCTTAAATTAGTCACAACTGCACCGAGTTAATAATGACTGCAGCCCTTCGGTCTCCGAGGCAAAGATTTCATCCTGGAAAACCCTCCCTCCAGCCACGGTCAGGTGGCATAAAACACTTAGATTATGGAAAAGCCACGACTAGCACAGTGAAATGCAGATTTGCTGGAGCAGAACACTGAGGAATGAGGCATCCGGGGACTGATGTTCCCCCTGCCCCCCGTAAGTTAATCTGACCCCCCTTCCCTCTCGGAAAACCACGGTGAGTTGTACCTAGTTCTGCCACAGCCGCTGCACAGGCTGACAGAGCGAATTTGCTGGCTCGGGGCCATCTCTCTGGAAAAGATAAGCTGCTCTCTTCTTCTGCAGGTGACATCTAGCATCTCACATGAACCGAGGGCACCCAGCCACCCTGCCCGGCTGTGTCCGCAGCAGGAGCGGGCCCTAGCGCAGGTCAGCTCGGGGTGGTTTGGGAGACAAGCTGCGGAAGGTCATGGTTCTCCAGCGCCAGCACCGGGAACTGCAGCAGCCCGAGCGGCTCCGCAGAGCTGCCAGGTCCTCCTGCAGTGACACAAGAGACTCCGGCGCAACAGGCTCCTGGGAAATGTAGTCTGTCACCAAGGCTGCTCTGTGCCTGGAAACCGGCGCTGCACGTACAGACACACGCACGGATTTATCCATTATCTAGATTAGAAAGAGTAATTAAAGTTCTCATTAATGAGGCTGAAGATTACGCGTGGGGTCTCTCTGCTTTGCGGGATGCAGTCATTGGCAGCACTGCCTGGGCAGCCCCAAACTCTGTGTCAAGCAGCTGCAGCCGGGAGGGATTAATTGATCCAGATCTGCTTTGGTAAGAGCTGCATTAGCAACAGCTACGTGCCGAGCTGGGGCTATGGATTAGGCACGCAGCACTGCAGCTTGAACAAGGATCACAGCAAGCCTGGGATGGCAGAAAGTGATCATTTCTCAGAGCTCTTAATTTTTCCTGGCTGAGTGCTGAAGTCTTGTTATGTGCCAGTCCTAATTTCTCTTAAAATATTGTAGAGCTTTTTGTCTATCATTAAGGCTCAGCTGAATCCCAAAGTTAATCACTAGCTGTGAAAAACGCCAATCACTTGTTTTTAAATTCTTAAAAGTTTAATAGTAATAAAATGGTTATAAAAATAGTAATACAATTAGAGTAATAATAATTTGGACAAATTGAATTAGGACAATATAAGACAATAAAGGCAAAGAGTTATGGCCATCCCGGTACCTTTTTCTGGGCAGCACGAGCCCAAAAAAGGACACTCATTAACAAAGGATTAACCCTTAAAAGCAATAGCCTGTTGCATATTCATACACTTCATACATGATGCATAAATTCCATTCAAACACAGGATTCTGTCTGGTCATCATCAACAACTTCCTCTGAATCTTAAGAGAGCCTTCAAGGTGGGAAGAAGTTCGTTTCTTCTGATAAGAGGGCAATAAATTCTTTTTCTCTGAAAGATTCAGGTGTCCTGTGGCTGCTATCTTGCTGCAAGTGCTTCATTTAAAAAATGTATCATACATAGCATAGTTTCTATTTTAACATTTTTTTATAACCTAAAACTATATTTAACACAATACTTAAGAGAATTAATACAGCATTACTTTCTAACACAACACATACAATATTCATTTGAATATTTGCGCAAAGCCAATCATAGAACACATGCATTTTTCACATTAGCCATTAGTCAGTAATCCTCATGCTGCTTTGAGGATTTTTTTGGTCACAGAAACTTATTCCAGAATACCTCCTCACACCTCTGACTGCCTAAAGCTTTGGTGTGTGGTCCTTGCCAAAATAATTCAGACAAATTAAGGGAGCATTGCAGGTGAAATATTCCGTTGAAGTTGGATGAATCTGTCTCATTGGTCACCAGTAATTGGTATGAAATTGGATCCTTCTTGGGGTTAAAATTCATTAGAATTCATGCAGGGATAAAACAAACTCCTGAGAAAGCCACGGCTAAAAATGGGGACAGGGGATATTGCAATCTAATGCAAACATTGCTGGCTGCATGGAAGGTATGAGTGGTTCAGAGCCTGTTTCTGGACAGTTCATGCCATCTGCTGTGGCACTCGGTGCCTCCCTCCACAGCTGTTCTGTGGGCTTGGGTCAGTTTGTGCCACACTCTATCAGCCTGTATCATCAACTGCGATGTGGGGTAGAGAGGACCTCTAGAGTTCACCTGCAGCCATCTTACAGTCACAGCAGGGAGAGCCCTGGAGTTACAGCAGGTTGCCCAAGGTCTTGTTTGGTCCCCTGAAAACCTCCCAGGATGAGGGTTTCACAACCATCCTTGAGCTCTACACCTCTGGGTCATTCTGTTTTCTCTATGACCATGCTGTAGGGAGTGGGAAACAACAAAAATCCCTCCTTAAAGTAAACCTCACAGCATTGCAGCATCCTATGGAAGGAGCAGCTCTCCATGGTCATTTCTAGCCTGAAGAAATAGGTTCTTTTTAAAACCAGATGATTGGGGGGTGGCTGTGAGGAGGAATATTCTCTTCCCACAGGGCCTTTGAAATGAGCCTGACTAGAGGTGGATGCCTGCATGGACAGCTCTGTGATGTGTGGAGAAGAGAAGGGCCAGTACTCATGGACATCCATCAAACACCTGGAGTTCCTGTATCCCTGAATCCTGAGAAGACAGCACCAGCTGAGAGGACCCTTCCTATTAATTTATTTCTATTCCCAGTGAGATGGAGTTTTTTGGTTTCTGTCCCAAGCCAGTTTGACCAAAGGCTGCATATAGAGAGAGAGTGTAGACTTCAGATGGGGTGAAGCCCAGCAGCAGGTCTGGGCCAGCTGTGTGCTGCTGGAGGAAGGCAGCCAGACTGCCCAGTGCCCCCACCTGAGCTTCTGTGTTAGTTCACTTGGAAAACCATTAAACATTAACCACTGCCCAGCCTGAGGAAAGCTTGGCAGTGACTGCTACACATTCCTAGTGGCTGTGCCCTCCTCACAACAGTGCCTTGCATCTCATGTCCTTCGCCAAATCATGCCCTAAAAGTACAACCCAAACAAAACAAAAAATGCCAAAACAAAAGCCTTTAATGAATGTCTTCACAGAGGCTTGAGGAATTGTCTAACCTGTATATATAGATCAATTTAAACTCACTACTCAGTCAGTTAATGAAAATATACCATGCATATAATGAAAATAGGTATTTTCTCCAATATTACAAGGCCTTTAGTTCTCTTATCACTTTACCCCTTTATAGGAAGAGAAATAATTTAATGGGTAAAATAAAATCAGTAAATAAACGTATAAAGAGCTGTGACAGCTAAACACAGAAGTGTAGAAATATCACAGTTAACAGTGATTTATCTGTTTGTTCCAGACAGTTTGCAAAATGGAGAACACCTTAATTTTTACAGCTGACATGTGAGCTTGTTCTTCTGCACCTACAATCAACATGTAACATCCCAAGGTATTTCAAAATGACTGTTTAATGAAGAACATACACCTAATTTTCACAGCTCTTAACCTCCTATTATTCATGTATATTTCTGCTGTGCTACTTTTACCATATTGCCTGTCTGCACAGGTACAAAGGTTCCTGTTTGTGCACCTCTTCCTGTACAGGAAGTGAGTTAAACTGTATTTGTATCTGTATTTGTTTATGCCCACTGCCTCTTGCTCTTTCACTGGGCACCCTTAGAAGAGCCTGGCTCCAGCCTCTTTGCACCCTCCCTTCAGGTGTTCATACACACTGAAAAGATCCCCCTGAGCCTTCTCTTCTCCAGACTGAGCTGTCTCAGCCTCTCCTCAAATGACAGATGCTCCAGCCCCTTTTTGGCCCTTCACTCTTGGCAGAGGATCACCTCCCTCAATCTGCTGGCAGCACTTCCCCTGATGCAGCCCAGGGTGCTCAAGGTCCATCTCTGACTCGTGTTCAACCTGGTGTCCACCAGGACCCCAGATCTGCAAAGTTCCCGTCCACCCAGGTGCCCCCTCAGCCTGTACTGGTGCATGATGTTGTTCCTACCCAGTGGCAGAACTTGGCGCTTCCCTTTGCCGAACTTCATTAAGTCTTTTTTTAAGTTTATTTATTTATTTTTTGCCAGGAAAAGCTGGACCACGGGATCCTTGGGGTCCCTTCTGATCCATTATTCTCTGATTTTGAGATAAGTCCCTCTCTGCCCATTTCCCAGCCTGCTGAGGTCCCCCTGAGTGGCAGCACACTCATCTGGTCTGTCAGCAACTCCTCCTGCTTTTCTGTTCTCTTCAAAGCTGCTGAGAGTGTGTGGGGGTAGATGCTGACAGCACTTCCTAGGGGTTTTTTATACTTAATGCATTCTGTAAGTAATTTTGACGTGCCGCTTTCACACATGCAAAGAAACTAATCTGACCTCTCTGAAACCTTGTCTTCTGACATGGCACAGATATAACAGGTGGCCAGCAGGTTTTGATCTGTCAGTCCAACCTCAGAAGCGTTTCTCTGCTCCTCAGACACTGGACACACATCCAGCCTATACTGAGGTATTTCAGACAGGCGAGAGATCTCTTTCTTAAGGTTTCTGCTTCAGGTGACGCCTGCAGAAGTTTCTTGCCATCTATGACTCGCTGAAAGCTAAATGTCTGCAACTCACAGGCTCTCTGCTTTGTAATCTCAATACTGCATATTTTTTAAATTGAAGAAGACTCTGCACTGCTTAGCCAGTGTCCCTGGCCGTGTCCCTGGCTGCCCGGTGGCCTTCCAGCAACCACTGCAAAGTCCAAGGACTTGCCACAGCAATATCTAGGTTTTGCAAGCAGCACAGTTGGTCCTCATGCCAGAACAGATCAGAACTGGCTCTGCCTGTAACAGAACAAGGGCTGTGCCCTCTGCAGCTCAGGGTTTTCACGCTGTCCCCGTGGCAGCGCAGGGCCGCTCAGGGAGGATGAGCTCGGAGCGCGGCCAGCGCGGCCATGCCGGGGCAGGCGGAGCAGCGGCCGGGGCCGGGCCGGGCGGCCGAGAGGCAAAATGGATCTCGCTGTGCTGTTGGCAGCGCTCCTGGGACTCCTCATTGTCAAGGCTCTTTTGTTTCAGCTGAGAAACCCGAGCTCGCCTCCTTGCATCAGGAGCTGGATCCCTTGGTTCGGAGCTGCGTTTCAGTTCGGGAAAGCTCCTCTGGAGTTTATAGAGCGAGCCAGGAACGAGGTAAGGCGTGTGCTGGCCTGGTGCTCGTGGGTGCGTGCTGAGGGTGGCTGCCTGCAGGGGGAAAGGCGAGCCGCAACTCCTGCCTTCAGTTTTGCCCTTTCCTGTCACGTTTTATAACGTCAGGAGCATTTAAATGGTGAAGAATCGGCTTAGTGCCACCAGCATTGGTGAGTTGTGGATCTGATCCAGGCACGGTCT